CATAAAATATCATTAAAATAATGAATTATTCTAATAATCAATTATGTGTTGTTGAGACTGCTGAACTTTGTCTTTACTTCTACCGCTGTTTGAAATACAGCTTTGCAGATCCCTTGAATTCAAGAGGCCAAATTCTGTCCTCACATAGTTACTGAAGTACTGTCAAATGGTGCCTTTTTATTTGAAGGCTAGGTTTACCCCTAATATCTTATCATCTGAATCTATATAACAATTGATTTGTTTATTTTAAAGGGTGTTGGGTTTTTTTGTCTTCTAGTACAGCAGTAATTGTTTTGGGTGAGTTTAGAGAAGGCAGCCCCATGTGTTTTGAATAAATGATGCATTACAGGGAAGGGATGTTCGCACTTCCGCATAACAGAATATAATTGATTGTGTGCTTGGGTAATTAGGAAGTGGTTCTCTTTGATGTGTTCAAGAGTCCAGAATTAAAAATTTAAAGTTTGCTAACTGTTAGAAAAATTGACTCAGAAACAGCTTTAACGGATGGAAAACCAGCACGCTATTGCAAATATGGTCTCACATCTAATGTTGTGCTAATGCAGAGTAGTCGCACATCTAGGATATCTTAATACATCCAGGTATCTTCATATCCTTGGCCATTTTAATTATGAAATCAACACAATAATACAGACAGCTTGGAAAAATTGCACATTTTTAAATAAAAAATATTAAAAATTTATCTTTCACAGCTTTTGACAGGTAGATGTAATTATATGTAAAGGCAAATGTGTCATGGGGGAGGGAATATGGAAATCTTAGAAGATGTGCAAGATTCAGGGAAAATGCAAGAAAACGAATTCTGCACCGCTATGTATTAGTCTTTTTTTTTTAAGTATCCGAATTCACACCCTATGCAGCATTTCAAATATTTGTCAGTGTAAATACTTCCTAAATAAATAGTTGCAGCTCAGATCGTAACTTTATTAGTTCAGATTTTTTTTATTTATTTCTTAATTTTGAAAGGTGCTGGAGAGCACTTTAGAATCCTCAGTTTTGTCATTTGAAAATCAAGCTCCAGGTTGTCGGTCGGTTCTAATAGACATGTTTTGTGTCCGGCCTTTTCATCACTCTTGTAGGCAGGATTATATAATAATCCAGCCATCTAGATACTTCACCTCCGACACTGTGTGTTGCTCGCTGTTCTTGGATGCTAAAAGCATAATAAGGATTACAGGGGCAGCAGATGGGCTGAACTGATTTATAGCAATATAGCCTTGCCAGTGTTTGCAGTTGCGTTGTGAGCGTTGCAACAGTTGATGCGCATCTTTAACTCAGATCTTTCACCGCTGTGCAAAAACTTGCCTGGTTTATGGCTTTCAATGCGGAAACTGTACGGCAGTGCTCCTGCTTCTCCTTATTTTGGTAAAGAAAGCCCATTTCTGGCTTTCCCAGTTGTGCAAAGGGACTACTGGTGCAGCCCAGCTGTACAACTAATGTTAAATAAATAAATGGAGAGGACAACTTCTGTTTACTTTTTACATCGCTGACCTTATAATCGGGAATGTTTTGCGCGGGATAGAGCTAACTTGGGCTGACGCAGGCTAATTCCCTGAGCGCTCAATGGAGAATCAGAGCTTCATTCAGCTGCTTTGAATCATCTTGCAGGAGAGACCCCCCACGAGGAGGCGGGGGCTGCGTTTTGGTAACCTGAGGACAGCTGGGGTGGGAGGGATGTCTGTACCCCCCAAAATGCCTTAGCTGAGTGCTATCTTTACTTCACGTTTGCAGTTTCCAGTAGTTTAGTAAATCTGTTGCAGGATTATTTACAAAATGATGTTATCAAATACATAAATATTATGATTGGAGAACAGAAAGACCAAAAAAAGTTTTCAAAGCTGTGCAGGCTAGTCCCATGTGTCTCTTACATCCTGTATTTCATGATGGAACAGAAATCCTCAAATTTGTGTGTCACTCTAAAAGATGCTTTATACACAGCTCTTCTCCCAGCCTTCCATCTGCGTATCTGCTTTTCCCCCTGACCCATGAACATGCCCTTCCTCCTTTGCCTTGATTAGATGATAACATACTCTGTTTCTGCTGTGGGAGGATAAAGCGTGCAACCCGAAACACCCTGAAATCTGGAAATTCATAACAGACAGCTGGATTTTGAAGCTGTGGCCATTCCCAAACCTATGGGAGCGGCCCACCTCACTAATTCTGTCCCTCCGCAAGTGGCTTGGAGGCTGCAGCTTCTTACGGCATTCGTTTTTCTGCAGGTAACACTCCCTGTGGCTCCCCAGCCCTCCCCACTGCTGGCTTGCAGCCCAGGGATGAGCATGGGGAGCAGAGTGCTGCCCCACTCCGCAGCAGGGCCCCAGTGCTGTTGGCCTGAGCTGGCTGGAGGCAGCCCACCGTGCAGCTGTGCTGGGCACTCCCACCGTGCCTTCCCCAAGCCCAGCTGCAGAGCCCAGAAATGGTCACAGAGCTGGGGAGCAGCAAGCACCGCTGGTATGCCCAGCCTAGGGCTGCTCTGGCAGGGCACTGCTTATGTGCTGGGAGATTCTTCAGAGACGGTGCTCCAAAGCTCGTCAAAATATGACGAGGCTGAGGGAGCTTCAGGGCTTGTGGCAGCATCACGTGAGGTGGTTTCGCTGGAGAGAGGGAGCCCGTGCCCGTGGCCAGCAGGTAGCTGCCAGAGCGGGGAAGCGGCTGCAGCTGTCGGGATGTGCACGCTGCTGCGGAGGCTTGCAGCACCGCGGAATGAGGTTGCTGGGAACAGGAGTCATCTGTGGCTCCTGAGCCTGAAAACATCACATGCTGGCTGCTGGCTTTTCTTTGTATTTTAAGACTGCCAGGCAGTTCTTATTTGCATGCTCTATAAAACTTTTTAAGAGAGTTTTACAGTTTACTTAGTGTACAAAAGGTATAACCAGCTATAAAATGAAACAGTTGTCAGGACTGTGGCAAGTCCCACGCAGTACGCCATGAGCCAGGATGCTCCAGATGCTGGCAGCACAGAACAGCCCAGGCACAGGGTCGTGCCACGTCCCCCAGCGGCGATGACAGTGTGCACACCAGTGTGGGATCCTCTCCTCGCTGAGCCCCTCGCACCCCACGGGGCTCCTTGGCAGCCTTTGTGGGTCCTCAGGATCTCAAGGGCTGAGGTTTCTGAGAGCCTCCAGGTTGTTTTGACTCTACTTGCGCCCCGAGTCTCATCCGTTGTCAAATTTACAGTGTCCTGCGCTATAAGTGCAAGTCAGAGAGTGAGCAGTGGAAACCACACGGGAAAACAAAAGGCACCTCAGCTCTGAAGCGCGCTGGTGTCAGCTTGTGCTGGCAGGGAGTCTCGTCACTACATAATGATGCACTTATCCAAACGGAGTTTTGTATTTTGGGAGACAGATGTGCCTTGCAGTTGCTAGTGGAAGTTAAACGTTAAATATGAAACCCATTCATTTTCTCTTAGTCATACTTTGGGTTTAAGCAGATGTTTTCCTAATTTGTGGTTTTCAAATGTAGCATGCTGACAAGACATATATCATTAACTGCAACTTCATCCATGCAGTTTAGCAAATTGGCCAATTATTAACAGTGAGGGTTGCGTGGCGGTCGATGCATAGCTCCTGCTGCTTTGAAAGGCCTAAATTGAAACTCAATACATTTTTACAATATAAATTAATTGAGCTTTGGACCACGTCCCTGTTATTCGAGTGCTCTCTGCTCTCATTTTCAGAATGAACAGCCATTTGTAATGCGCTGAGTAGCTGTGCTGTCTGTGAGCAGAGGCTCCTGGTGGTGGAAAAAGTGATGGCTAACATTTTTCTGGTAGGGGCATGAAAATGGCTGGTGGTATCCAAGCGTAGGCAGCATGACATGCAGAGGGAGCGTGGCTGCGGGACCGTGTACGTATGTGCAGACCAGGCTGGCCTTGCCACAGATGATGCAGGAGGCATCCCGGAAGGGTGCAGGGTGGGTGCAGCTGCCTGGAAACTAGCGCTGCCTAATATTTTCTATTATAACATTTCTCTTGCTTTTAACTTTGCTAGACTTTACCCATTTTGGTTTTTTTTTTCCTGGTTTGTGTTTGCAGGGTTTGATGGGGTGGGGGTAGGAAGGGTTGGTGGTGGTGCTGTGAACTGGTGAGATGTCCCAAAGTGCTTCCCAAAGCCAGGAACCACCAGATGCCTGAAATCCTCTTTTCCCAACTCTGGAATTCAAGCAGGCAATTTAGTCATCATTTATTCATCCCATGTATGAGACTTGAAGGAGAACGCTCAATGCCCCTCTAATTTCTAGAAAGTATAAAGACCTTGATTTTCACCAGCTGGCACTGCGGAAATTTTGCCTTACATTCCAGCTGAACTGGGAAAAATCTTCAGGATGGTTTGTTCATAGTTTCTCCAGCTTCTGGCAAATCATTCACTTTTTTTCCTCCTCTATATTTGCATCTGCACAACAGGGAAACTATATACTTTGGTACAGAACAGGCTGCCATACAGATTAATTAAATGAGAACTGTAAACAATTTAAAAAAATACATGTGATCTATTTCATCTTGCTTTATTGCAGCCAGATGCGCTAGGTGCAAAATACCTACGGGGCTGGTATTTACAGTCCCATCTGATGTGCTTTTCTTCACATCCCCCTGCTCTGTGGGAAAAGGGCGTAACGGTAGTGTCACAAAATCAGTCAGGAGAGGTGGTATCTCAGCAAAGAGGCCAGAGGTTGTATAAAATGCAGAAAAGAGGGGAAAAATGTAGATTTGGGGCTTGTGTTGCCGCTGTTCCTGGCCTGCATTAGAGGTGTGAGTCCTAGGGGTACTTAAAATGAGCTGAAGGCCTGATCCAGAGGGATGCAGTGGGGGTTGTAAAGAGAGATCTTTGGCATAGTTGTCTCCCTAGTAACTTTTTGGTTGAAAGGGATGCAGCAGTGGATGTTGAAGGGAAGATGATGGGTTATGGTTGCACTGTCAATCACCACCTTGCTTTCCCTGGGTTTAGATAAGCTAAATCTCTGGACGCGGCTGTGTATCCTAGCAGGAGGCAAGCACAGGTAGAGTTCGGGCAAATTCGGCTAACCCAGATCCTGACCCTTTGCAGTGCTGCCAAGCTCCTGGAGAAGAGTCCGTTCTCCGTCGGCGCCCCGAACCCCCTGCTCCCCTCGCCGGCGAGCCTGCAGCTGGCGCAGCTCCAGGCGCAGCTCACGCTCCACAGGCTGAAGGTGGCACCAGCAGCTCTTCAACCAGCTGAGGCACCCCACCGTGATGAACGCCCCGCAGGGCCACGCTGCAGGGCCGACACAGGGGCCTGGCATCGCTGGTGCGAGGTTCCCCTCCGGTGGCATTGCCTTTCCCGCCCAGAGCCCGGCCTTGGCCGCGCCAGGGGCCGGCCTAGGGCCTGTCCAGGCCCAGACCCCCAACGCCATCGTCATGAGTCCCTTCGGAGGCGTCATGGCTCCCACCTCCAGCCAGCAGCCCGTGGTGGTGGGTCTCAACAAGGCAGGTGCCTCCAGCTCCGCCGCCGCTGCTGCCGCGGGGGGGTTTTTTGAGTGC